TTATCTTATCTTATCTTATCTTATCTTAATATAAGACAAAGAAGAGATATTTCAACATTTTGCCTCACTCTGTCTACATGGTAAAGAAATACTGCTTTGCTATGCCCTCCTTCACATTTTCCATAACCATCCAACCGGCCAGATCGGGGTCTTTAACGGGCCGATCCTGGCCCCCGGTTCTTATGTTTGACACCCATGAGCTAGGTGAGCTGAAAGGACTATCTTGAGTCTAATTTTCAAAAAAGTTACAGTGCTGGAGGCCAGAACAACACATCATAAATGCATTCACCATATGTTAGTCATCAGATCTTTAAGGTGAAACGGTGTGATGCTTTTCTCTTTTTAAAGCACTTCTCTCAAGCAAGTTTCAAACCTCTGAATCAGATTTTCACACCTTGCCAAGAAGAATTTAAACCAGTGTGTTTCTGAGCCAATCTGTGCAATTACTACAGGGACATGTTGGAAAATCTGTCATCGCAGTTGCTGCAACCAAGAAGTGGGTATACGGAGGATAAATTAACATTGCAGTGAATTGATGTGGACTATCCTGACGCTCTTATTAATTGTGCGTAGGCACAGCCGGATTACTGGAAAGAGGAGGGAGGCACTGGGGTTTTTATTCGTTTCCCCTCTTACAGCATGAAGAGGAAGTACCAAAATCACATTTTACCTCATTGTGACAGAGCGATAAAGTATTTAATTTCACCTGCTTTTTGTTTAAATGCATACAAAAATGGTTAACAGAGACAGACTTAACCGTTGAAGCTTTTGCCTAGAAAAGAAAATAATAAACCTGGTGCATAAGCCTGGCAGGCTTGTAAAACATACTGTGATTAGTTTGCTTCCCCACTCCTCACTGCATTACATGCACAGATTCAGGCTGACAAACTGCCTGTTTGCGATCTGCAAAGCTTTGATGCCTTTTCTTCCAAAATAGGAAGTACTGCGCATTGTTCTGCAAACACAACACACTCAGCTGACTAGTTTGCATGTTTTGTTGCTAAGGCAATACCTAAACCAGTCCAAAACATAAGGTTGCTGCATTTCAAATCCAGACACTGTATGATGCGTAACAACATACATCACAGCCCTAATATAAGCAGTCTGATGCAGCCTTGCCAGACGTCAGCAGTCTTCTTTCTGTTGCTTTCCACAATAACAGCAGGGTTTTAAGAATTTCTTTTTAACTGAGGATTTTAAACCTTTTTATTTAAGCAGATCAAGGGCAGAAACAGGCTGGACAAAAAGAGGAGAGGCATATTAAAAGCCCAGGGATAACATATCCGGGTATTTTAAAGTTGAATCCACTCATTTTGCATGAGGAAGCCATAGTGGATGCAAATCAAAAGTCCTTGCAGTCTTTGTACTGTCGCCATTTCACTAGCAAGCTTAATTTTATTCTATGTGAGATTATGGGTTCGGTCTTTAGTCTTGCTAAATTAAAAAGGTGAAATTCATTTTGTAGATTGTGGTCATTATTAGAGTCTGGAGGACTACTTAGGGTATGCTCACTGGCTCATGATTTTGTCAACTACAAGTTGTTAGCCAATGAGTGTGCAGTGTCCTCTGTGTCACAGTCAGGCCTCAATTGTCATGTCTGGCTTCAAAAGATGGTCAAAAGAACCAATGAGTGGCTCTAGCCATTGTCTATGCAGTTAACAGATTTTAAAAAAGCTAAAACACTAAAATCTCTCTAAAAGCAAGCTGTGCCACTCTGTGACCATCGTGGTAATGCTTACAGAGGACCATAAGTGTCACGTCAATATTCCTTATAACATGGAGATTCACCCAAATCTCCATGTTGCAAAACTGACCAGGCAACGCTTCACAGAGCAAATGAACAATGTAAATAAAGCATGCTTTAAAAGAAACCGTACAAGGCAAAGAAAGGGGATATTCTTCAATGGCATAGTCAGTCACTTGATCTCAACCCAAGAGAGCAAACAAACAAGCAGCAGCTGAAGCTGGCTGCAGTTAAGGTCTGGCAGAGCATCTCAGGGGAGGACACGCAGCATTTGGTGACGTCCATGGTTTCTACACTTCAGGCAGTCATTGACCGCAAAGGATTTTTATCCAAGTATTGAAAACAGTCCTTATGCCAGTCTCTCCATCTACTTTTGAATTTGTATAAACATGGCTCTAAAATGCTTTTGTATAAAACATACAAAAGCATTGTGGAGTATATGTTAAGTCCTCAGATAAAAAGAATTGAAGTGCGTCACTTATTATGAGGTAAAGTAAGTGTCTACAACAAATGCTGATTATTAGTAATCAATTAGTAATCCTTAATTAATGCTTCAGAAAGCAGGAAGAGGGCATTCTTTAGGTTTTACAACACTTGTTTTTGGAGGAAAAATGACCTTACTGACCACTCAAAGTGCCTTTAATTGCAAGTTACACTGTAACCACATATTCATACAGTACTGTAAACTTCAAGCACTTTTTGCAACTCACATATGATCAATTCACCAATGTGTGTCGTAGGATTGTACAAGGAAAAGGAGTACTCATATAGGCAAACTGCACGCAGACAGGCTTGGTACCAGGAACCTTCTTTATGTGAAGCAACACCATTACCCACTTTTCCACCGTGGCACTGAGGTACCCTCTCTCAAGGAAACCTTTGACCTCTGTATGACATCTATTCCTTTTGTGCCCCCATACACGATCACTCCTGTGCTGTTTTACTATTGCACTGTTTAGCAATTCCCCCCATGACACTTTAGAGACCAGCAGGTGCACAGATAGATCGCATGTCACCACTGTCCCATAAAAACATACACAGAGACATGGCGTGTACAACTTCAGAGTTTCAAGATTCTCTAGTTTGACTCCAACAGCATCAGTGTGTTAGAGTTTGTAGTACCTGCACATTTTTAAAGTTTACATTTTTGTGTATTTTGGGTGACGTTTGAAACGCTGTCAAATGTCAACACGGGTCAATTTTGAGGCCAACAGCAATTAAGGTTTAAAAGAAGAAAAGAAAGAAGAAGAAAATGCCTTAAGATAACTTTAATTGTGCCAATACCGCCAAGACACAAGCATTAATGAAGAGCTCGGCTAGAATAAACACAAACCGAGGATAGCCGCTGTTTTGCGCCTTCTCTCTTCAAATAACCAGCTCTAGGTATCTGTTTTACGTGTGCACATGAAGTCACCACAGCTTTACAGGTGTTTGGGGAGCTAGGCAGCTAGCAGGAATTCAAGGTGACTTTAGCAAAAACACAGAGAGCCAGCCTGCCTGGGATGTTCGTCAGCCAGGAAATAGTCGCTGGCTTGTTGGATTCAATTCACACGGTCTTGTGAGGATGACAGAAAAAAGGGGGAGGAAGACCCGCTTTTTCCGGTGCTAACCACTTTCACGAGGTGTGAAATTGGTGAAATCGCACCTGTTATGTTGGGTATTTGTAGTTCGGGACAGTACGGGTGAAGCCAGTATACACAGAGGTGCTGTATAAAAGGAGCTGAATGTATTGCTGTCGAGTTCGTGCAGATTTGTATTTGCATGATTCGCGCAATATTTCCGTGGCGTGACAGCTCCCACTGAGTGGCTGGAAGTCGGAAGCTGACAGTAGGTTTTCATAAAGAATGCGGCAGAACATCAGAGAGGCGGGTGTTTCAGCTAACGAGCAGCAGTTACCTGCTGACTCTCTCCTGACGACAGAGCTCACCTAACGTACCTGGCATCTGCACACCATGTCCGCGTCCTGTGCCAGCAGATCCACAACTTTCCCCTTCCCCTCATCGCCCCACTGAGCGCCGAGTACCACGGTCACTTTGTTGCCAACCGTCGGCCTGGGTATCCGTGTCTTCGGGGCTTCCTGACTCCCGCTGTCCGACATTTCAGCTCGGTCCCTGGCTGTCTCCACTCCTCACCGACCTAGACTGGAGGAACTACCAGCAACTGAGCCGAACCGGAAACCTGGCTTATTCTACGCATGTGCGAAAAATTCTTCTTCCCAGTCCTTTCACAATAAAATTCAGTTTTGTCAATGAGCAAAACGTTTCTTTTTGTGCAGCTTCTGTTTCTAGACAAAGAAAAGCACAACATTCTTCTGAGATAATAATATTCCCCGTTTTATCGTATTTTAATTATTTACTTGTTTTTATGTTTGTTCTACCTAAGTACTACTCATTACTATCACAATTTGATTTAAAAAGAACAAACAAACAATTGAAATTACTTATTGGTACTATTATACTAGGAGATGGTTAAATTTAGTACTTTATTATTCTTTCCTATAGCAAACTTTCTGAGCTTGCACAATGTTAATATTCCTATATTTGTTTGTTTGCTTGAAAGAAAGAAAGAAAGAAAGAAAGAAAGAAAGAAAGAAAGAAAGAAAGAAAGAAAGAAAGAAAGAAAGAAAGGAAAAATAAAGAAAAAATATGTTCTTTAAGTAATTTCAAAAATTCCAGTAGATTCTTAGATTTAGAAAAGATTAAATTTTTCCTCTTAATAAATATATGCATGTTTTGATTGCCTGGAGGCTAATATATGAGGAAGTTTAACAGTTAATAACACACTTATTACTATTTTGGTAAAGACTAATTTCATTTTCTCAATAAAAGCTGGAGAAATACTTGCGCTGGGTGCATAAAGTACGTGTCTAAATAATTATGAGTTTAATGGGAAGCACTTTATTAAACTTATTATTATCATTGTTGGTGTTTAATTGTAATAACATAACAGCTTTATTTGCAGGTTATTCCACATTATGCCACAGTGGCCATAAAATAAATCATGACAGATCACATTTCACCAGAGAGTGCAAGTCATTGAGCTGATAATCTCTCGTCTTTAATCTGTGATCGAATACATGAACTTACATATTAGACATGAAGGCTGCGTGAGTCTGAAATCGCAATCATGAGTCTGAAATCGCAATTAAGATACAGAAGTTTGGATTGAAAACCCACAAGGACCTCTGCAGCTGCAGCTTCAAACCACAGTGGAATAAGTCAAATAAAAGCATGTGCAGTATTGAGCCTTTAAAGTTTTCAGAATCTGACTGTAAGCAAATATTCTGCAGACTACAGTCAAGGAGTGAAATAAACAGAAACAGGAGCAAGCTTTTCATTAAAACCAAGTTAAAACATACTTATGCGCAGTCTTGCTGTGCTGCATATGAGATATATTTCTTATTATTCAGCTCCCTCTGCTGGTGATCATAAGCCAATATCCCTGGAGCATTACTGGATTGGTTGAAACTGTTTCCTTGACAAAGGCTCAGCAGTGAAAAGAAACCTAAAATAAAACAATATAAAAGTATGTCTGCAATTTGCCTAGTATTTTTAGACAAGTGTTACATACAAAGTCTAACTGTTTACCTGCTGCAGATGGACATCAGCGGTGCCAGGTACAGCTTACATCATGTCCCTTTTGTTTCCTTTGAGCTCAGCGTGGGACAGATGGTCAAGTGGGTAGACAGGAGAGCACAGTGTGGGAGCAGTGGGCCCAGGTCACGATTCAGACTCTGTGGAGTCAGTTATAAATTAATGCTACAAAGGTTTTTCACTCTGACCTTGGTTTATGAAATGAAACAACAATATGGATTTATTAATTTATTAATCGAGACTCACTGGATGAGTCCTCTAGTCAGGCTGGCATAAATCTTTCAAGTTCCTACCTGCTGACAAATACCAGCAACAAATAGGATGATGTGGTAGTCAAAAATACAAAGAAGTGATACAATAAATCTAAATTAATAGAATCTGGGGACATGAAATTTACTTGACTTACATGCATTTGATTTATATTTTAGCATATTTCCCTAACTAAATATTTGATTTTATACATTTTCATTTTATTGCTTCATGCTTTTCAACTTTGATGCACCAGAGGCACCCCGCACCAGGGCTGAGCCCCCATGCACCCACCCGCACACAACCTCGGCGACACACCAACCAGGACCCAAGCCCCCAAGGCCCAGCCAGAGCCCCAGCCTGGAGACGGAGCATCCCCAGAAATCATCTGATGACCTGTATAGTGTACTCTATGTAATATTTTGTATTGAATTAATTGAATACAAAGTGTTACAGAAAGCAATCTGTATATTTTGGAAAGTAATTTGGGGGTTTTATGAGTAAGAAATTGTACCACACTTGATGGTGTTTGTAGTTCAACTTGACCGGGTTTAAATTTCTTTTTTACTATGGATTTAATTTGTTGATATTCTAAAAATCTTTTCTTGTTGATCCCATATTGTGTAACTAGTCTGTCAAATGGAATAAATTCTGTTCCTTCTGATACATGTTCTAAGTATTTGAGTTCTTTACCACTCCAATCTGACAAGTTTATCATATTATTGTTTTGTAATATGTCAGGGTTGTTCCAGATAGGTGTACGTTTGCATGGGATTAATGAAGACTCCATCAATTTTAGAAACTCCCACCATGCTGTCAGAGAAGAGCTGATGTTGATGCTTTTAAAGCATTCATGTCGTTGGATGTTTGAGCTGATAAATGGTAGGTTTGAAATCTCTAGATTATTATAAGTGCTTGTTCTACATCTAGCCAAGGTCGTCTAAGAAGGTATGTTTTAGCCATCCTGAGATAAATTGAAGCCTGAAAGTTAGGTAGATCGAATCCTCCTTTATTGTTGGTCTTTTGTAGTGTTTTTAAGCTTATATGTGGTGGTTTATCTTCCCAAAGGAATTTAGACATATACAAATCTAGAGATCTGAACCAATCTTGTGGTGGTTTAGTTGGGATCACTGAGAATAAATAATATATTTTTGGTAAGACCATCATTTTTATAGCGGCAACCCTTCCCCTGAGTGATATGGGTAGACATTTCCATCCAGCAACTTACTTTAAAAGTGGGATATGGTTTAATTTAGTTAAATCTGCAAGCTTGGGAGAAACATTAATACCTAAATATTTTATATTTCCCGATTGCAGTGGTGTAGAAGAGGAATTTAGGAAGGAGCAATTAATCGGTAGGACTGAAGATTTTGACCAGTTAATTGAATAATCTGATACTCTTGCAAAAGAATTTATCAATGCAATCACCCCAGAAAAAGTAACACATAACCGCATAAAGACTGATTACCAAATTTTTGTAAAGTTGCAAATAAAAATTTCCAGTTAACTCTGTCAAACGCCTTTCCTGCATCTAGAGATAATATTGTAGTTTCGATGTTTTTACTGCATGAGTAGTCAATCAAATTAAGTAATCTACGTGTATTTGTTGATGAGTGCCTACTCATGAGATGAGTGCCTTTATGAAACCAGTTTGGTCAGGATGAATTAAGAGGGGGGTTATCTTCTCTAATCTCTTTAAAAGCGCTTTGCAGATTATTTTAAGGTTTACATTTATAAGGGATATTGGACGATAGCTTAAGGGGTATACAGGGTCTTTGCCCGGTTTTAGCAGGAGTTTTCAACAATTTCTGAGTAAATGAGAATGAGGGTTTGTGTTCAATGTGAAAATAACAAAAAATAATATTAAAGGCAGTGCTTACATTTTTATTTGATTCTTTTAGTTTTATAAAGATATACTTCATTTATTAAAAAATGTGAGATGTCTGTGTTAGTGCCAATTAAGTTCCACAGTTAAATACAATATAGTCAATCAAAATAGCTTAAAAAGAAAAAAACAAATACTCACTATGAAAGAGCTATGTTTATAATAAATAAAGTAAATAAAGGAGCTTAAAAGTAAAAAATACACAACAAATCAAACACATTTGTGAAGTAAAATAAAACAACAAAATAATAATAATAATAATAATAATAATAATAATAATAATAATAATAATAATAATAATAATAATAATAATAATAACATAAAATAGCAGAATACAAATACAAATGATGCACTAAAATGTGCTGGAGGAGACAGGCCAAGCACAGGATGCTGAGGTGAGCAGTTAAGCAGCAACAGGAGAATAAAGACTTCCTGCAACTGAAAGCTAAATATTTATTTTATGGTGCAGAGGGTAGTTAATTGAGTTAACTATAATTTTTATAAAATCATCAAGTCTAATCACCTTGCATAGAACATGCCCAGTTAAAGGTTTCCGAGTAGTTTCGCTGGTGTCCACCAGAGGGCAGCACCTGTCTGATTTGTGGGTGCTGTCAGCGCTCTTCCTCTCGGTACTTTGTTTACTTCTGCTTCCGTAGCTTCTAGCTAGCGCAACCCCCGCTGTCTTTTAAACCTCTTCCCGTGCTTCTAGAGTAACACGTATTCTAAAATGTCTTCACCGCTTCTTCTCAGGGCCTTCGTGACCGAGCGCCTGACAGCCGCCGCGGAGGAAATATTTCAGGTGTTTGAGAGGACGATAGCAAAATACGAGGAAGAAGCGAGCAGCTCCCAGCAGGAGATCGAGCGACTCAGAGGTCTGCTGCTGGAGTTCATGACAAACCAGAAAAGAGGTCTGTGGGGTCTTATTTTTTACTTATCTGTGGGTGTCCGACTAGACTGGAATTATTAACCTAAAATGTAACCTTGCAGAGGAAGTTTATTTTCTGCAACGTAATTTGTGAAGTGTGTTTAATTTTACTTAACACTTTGCTCCAGCAACTGACTGGAAGACAGTCTAAAACTCATATTATTTCTGATTTTCCTGAATGAGGAATTTTGAAATGTGAAAAAATAATACCTAAGCATTAAATATTTACTTAGTAGTAACTAAGGTATGGTTTGGGGCCACCTGATCCAGCACTAACTATGAACTTTATCAAAATGTCAAGTTTCTATTGTGATCTTAAAAGTAGAGAGGGTATCGGTCTCCTGAAGCCAAAGTGGGAGCTGGGTCCACAGCAGATGGTCCTGATAGTTGAAGGCCCAGCCTCCCATTCTACTTTTAAAAACTCTAGGAAGTGCAAGTAAGCCTGCAGTCTGAGAATAACGTGCACTGTTTGAATAATAAGGTACTATGAGGTGTTGTTGTGGTCACTGTGTTGGGGCCTGATTATTCAAGACCTCATACTCTCATGTGAAAAAGTTGATTCACTGCACCCACATCATTCAGTAGGTTATGGAACCATTTTTAGCTGCAGTGACTTGAAATACTTGCTTTCTGTACAACTATACATCTCTCTCATCATTGTAGAGAAATTTTGTCCCACTGTCCAACATTGCTTCAGTTCATTGAGGTTTCTGGGCATTTGTTTACACACAGCTCTCTTAAGGTTCCACCACAGCATTTCAGTCAGATGAAGTCTGGACTTTGATTGTGCCACTGCAACATCTTGAATCTTTTCTTTTTCAGCCCTTCTGGTGGAGATTTGCTGCTGTGCTTGGCAATGCGTTCTGTTACATGACCCATTTTCAGCCAAGCTTCAGCTGTCAAACCGATGGCCACACATTTGTCTCTAGGATACTTTAGGACAAAGAAGTGTTCGTTTGCAAGGTGCCCAGGACCTGTGGCTGCAAAACAAGCTTTAAATCATTACCCCTCCACCACCAACAGTCGGCATGACATTGTGTCAGAAGTCGTGGGGTTTGCTCTAAACTCTGCTGAGGCTTTCTCCTATAGAGCCTGAGATGTAGCTCTTGGGTTTCTTTCAGCTTCAGGGGGTGAGTTGGGGTGAACGTCCACTCCTGGGAAGATTGTAGTATTGTGTTAACACACACCTGAATGCTCCAGACCAGCAAACTGCTGATATCTGCTTTTTATCAGTAAATGATAAGGTTTTAATTCATTTGTATTTGATCATCTGAAAGCTTTTAAAGGACCTTTTGAGAGTAACAAACATGATTGTTAATCCTTGTTTATAGTAATAAAGTAGTAAAAGAAAGATTACATTTTCTTTTTCAGGTGTTCTTCAGTTGTCTGTTTGTAAAGAGGAGTCACCGCCTGAGCAGGAGCCATGTGAGCGCACACCGAGCATCAGCGTCCATGAGGGCAATGCAGAGCCTCAACATATTAAAGAGGAAGACAGCGAACTCTGGGCTGGTCAGGAGCAAGATGAAAAACAGGCCGAAGAGTTTCATGATGCTGATGCCTCATATCCACCTCACTCTGCTGTTTGGGAGGAAAATGAGCTAGAGGACACGAAACCGTCTCTGCAGCCTGAAGTGCAAAACTGTGAACGTGATGAGGAGTTTCTGGAGGAGCAGGAAACCAGAACTGTGCAGTTCATTTTGCCTCTCACATTGACATCTTCTTCACAAACTCTAGCCCAAAGTGAAAGCGTCCAGGACGGAAGGGAAAGCGAAAGACCTGCTGCTAGTTTTTCATCAGAACAAACCCAGGCGCCCTTTAGCACTTTCAGAGAATCCACTGAGTTACCTCATTTTAACTCTGCTGCACCTGACTATCATTGCCATTTGTGCAATAAATCGTTTTCCTCCAGCCATCACCTGATAAATCATGCTTTCCACGTGCATTCAGCAGACGCAGGTGCCATCTGTGCCGTGTGTGGAAAGATGTTTGAATCCACCGAAAGCCTTAACATGCACCTCAAATCGCACAAGGGCTCAAAATGTTGCCACATGTGCGGTAAGCAGTGCAACAGCACGACCGCACTGACCGAGCACATGGCGAGCCACGCCGGGGTGAAACTGCATCGTTGCCACGTGTGTGGGAAAGAGTGCAGCCGCAAAGGGGATTTAAAGATACATATGAGGATTCACACAGGCGAGAAGCCTTTCTGCTGCTCCTTTTGTTGCAAAAGTTTCACCCACAGCGGACACCTGAGGAAGCACATGAGAAGCCACACAGGCGAGAGGCCTCACCGCTGTGGTATCTGTGGCAGAGGGTTTCTACAGAGTGCACACTTGAAATATCACCTGGGGACTCACACTCAGAAATATTGACTCATTCATCCCCCTGGGCTCATATTTAATAATGAAAAATGTTCAACAGAGACGCCAAACTTTGCTGTAAAGAGCAAGAAGACCCATTATAAAGATGCTTAAAGCAAAATGTCAGTAACATTTAAAGTGGGTCTAATTCAGTTATTTTTAGCTCCATGTTTTTGTTCTTGGGCATTGCATGATTCACAGTTCAAAATAATCCTTATTTATCCTATTCTAGGCCTCGGTGCAGCCCTCCAGTTCATCCACTGCCTGAAAAACATGTTTTTAGGTCCTCTGAGCAGCACCCTTGTAAAAACAAGTCTCTGCACTCAGCAGCAGGTTATTATTTTGAGAAATCAATTGAAGCATGAACTAAATTAACTTGAAATTTAATTCTGCATGTATAGAATCACCAGTTAAATCTCAAAACTAAATAAAGCACTTTAAAATGTCCGATGACTTCCCCTAAAATACATTTTTAAGGAAGGTTTTCCTCTGGAAGTTAACACTTTGTTGTTTTGTAGTTTCTCTTTAATAGCTGCTATCAGGTGACACTGTGATTAATCGTCTGTATGTTCTGATGTATCTGATTCATTTTCTTTAATAAAAGTCACATGTCACTGAAAGATGTGTTATAGAAAACCAAAGTGGAGCAGAAAATGAATTCTTAACTTGGGTTTTAAATAAAAGCGTTTGTTTATAACATCGTTATAAGATGCATGAAAAGTGCTAAAGAAAGCTGCAAACCTCTTTTAAATTTAAGCAGTGTAAACAGCTAAAAAGTAAAGTGAAGGAAAAGTATTTTAACAGTTTGATGAGCGCAGGCTCTGAGCTTCACACTATGTTTCTCTTTACTGTTGACATGACCTCTGATCCCCACTTTGAGCAATAACATTGCCGATAACGTCCAGCTTGTAATGATTGCTTTTATACAACAGAATCTGATTGGTGTTAAGTCATCAGTTTATTTTACTCAGAAAGAGCAAAGTGGGACACAGTGCCCTTTTCCACTCTTATTTTTCAAGTAAGCAGATGTTCAGCAGATGTGCTCTCTGGTACAGCTGCAGCTCGCCTGGTCATGCAAACTTAAAACACTGTCACACTTTCAGAGCCGTGTGCCGACCTCTTCATCAACCAAATCTCTTCTGCTCTGTGATTCATTAATTATAACCTTTATTATTAAAAGTAATTTCCCTACTAATCATCCCACTGACATTTTTTCACATATGTACTTCCTGTGATCTTTGGGTACACCAAGAATAATTTACTGTTAAGAGCAATTATAATAGCCAAATAATATCCATTCGTCCGTTCTCTTCCACTTATCCAATTCAGGGTCGTGGGGAGGCGGGAGCCTATCCCAGCACAAACACTAGGAGAACATGCAAACTCCAGTAAACATATATGACATGTTTGTGTGATAACCTATCAGGTTCAGTCCTCCTAGAACTTGCCCATATTTAAGGGCTGTCCAGGAGGCCTTCTGGTTGGATACCCAAACAATGTGAAGACATCTCTATCTGTAAGGGAGAGCCTAGACATTCTTGACAATGAGCTCATGTCTGCATACATCAACTATTTAATTTTTCAGTCACAACCCAGAGCTCATCGCCAAAGCTGAAGGTCAGAACATATCTGAGCCTATAAATGGACAGCTTCATAGTGAGCTGTCTCTTCACCACTGCAGACACGATTCACCTGCAACCCCAAAACATTTATATTTTTAAAAAGCAATAACACACAACAAAGCTGCATTGTCACGTCATTAGGAACAAATAGATAGAAATGATGGAATGAAAATGATTTGTGTCTGTATGATAAATAATGTTCTTCTGTGGTCTGCAAAGACCACAGTTGGTCACATTTCAACTAATTCAAAGCAGTAGGTTCTTATTACAGATGAAAGTAGCTCAGTTTCAAGCATTCGTTCATCACTACTGATTTATTTTTCTAGAAATGAAGATTTGCATACATGCAGAGTCATATTTTTCTGTGCTTCCCATCACTAAAAAAAATAATAATGAGGGTTTGGTTATACTTGATTAGTGCGTACGCTGAGCTATATTTCTATGTAAAGATGGACCACGAGTGCTGAATTGTTTTTTTTTCTACTAACGGAAGAAATTCAGAATCAGCTTAAAAGTTTAAAAAACATCTACATAGCAAAGCTTTTCTTTTTTTGGTTTCTGTTCCTCTGTTTCTTTTTCAGTTCTTTTTTTGGTCTCAAAAGGACACTTTTCTTTACCAGCTAGATGTTTTACATTCATCACAAGTTTGTCACTAACTTCACACTGGGCGAGAGCTCTTGGGGAGTCTGTGTGATGCACAGCCAGCAGGCTCTGGTCACATGACCTCGTGTACCTGCAGAGAATCTCTGGATGTAAAAGTTCACTGGTTGTTTCTCCATCCAGACATGTTTTGCCTTCATGCTGTAGATGAGTTCAAGAGTATCTGAATGTAACTCTGAAAGTGAACAATCTTCAGATGTCAGTTTGGAAATATAACCTCCACAGTGTGCTGTAGTGGTGAATTATCATGGACTACTACAGTCTAATGAATAAGAGTGTTTATTTTCAAGATGATTGCTTCTCTCTAGAAGTGTGTTTGCTTATGGTGGGAAACTACATTGTCATTTTTACAGCACCATTCATTCAAATATGCACAGAGGTCAACGTGACAAAACACAGTTTTAAAAACAGATTTTAAAAAGTAAAAGAAGAGCTGGAATTATCATCAATTATGTGGACAAGAGAAGCCAAAAGCAGGACACCAGAGATAGAATGATTGATGAAAAAACAAGCATTAATGCTGAAATAAGTCCAATAAAATAACAAAGTCCAGAACAAAGTAAACAGAAATCAGAAGATAAACACAAGGACCCAGGGAATAGATCCAAAACCATCGAAACAGTCTGCACACGAGTGAATGTTTGTACACTGAGCGCAGGTTGGGAAATTTGGGAGTGAATTATATCATTGTGCAATAGGTACACCTGTTCAGCTGCTCATTAACACAAATATCTAATCAGCCACATGGCAGCAACTCAATGCATTTAGACATGAAGATATAATCAAAACAACCTGTTGAAGTTAAAGCTGAGGAACAAAGTTGGTTTAAGTGACCAAGGCGCCAGACTGGCTGAAACTGCAACAAAACGCAAAAAATATCCAGTGAGCCATGAGTGTAGCTAGTACTCATGTGCTCTCATTTTTCTAGGCTAACTAGTTTTACATTTACAAGAGAAGTTATCACTGATTAATTCAGGATGTGCACATGCATAGTGCAAACTGACAAAATAATTCAGTTCAGGTACAAAGAAAAAGTCCTTTATTTTTTAGACTGAGTGATATATATGACCTCCAGTTTACAACACAGAGAGTGTGCTGTGCAGTGTTTTGTGTGTGTTTTGATTGGTTAATATTGGAGTTTACCCTGAAGCGTTTACCCACTTTACTTTTTGCATACCTCTGTCCAGCCTGAGAAGAAAATAATTTACCACTAGGTGGTACTGCAAGAACCTTTATTTATCTATCCAACGTCTCAGTCGGTGTAAGAAAATATATTTTCCCACCTCCAGTAGTTGATTTTTGAACATTTTAATTGTTGTATTTAAGCTTGCCTCACAATCCTGCTTAATCATGACATGTAGCACATCTTAGTCAACTAAATGAACTCTGTTCATGCATTGATTTCAAAAACCTTTATTAAACTTGGTATTTACTGTTCAAATGTTTTTTCTGTCATGGTTTATATTTTTTCTAGAGCTTTCATTTTTCAATTTTAATCACTCACTCTTGAGAACAGCAGCTGGAAAGCTACATTCGCCATCATCTATGACTTGTTCAGGAACTTGTTAAGCCTTTTTTTAAGCCTTTCCCGAGAATCTCTTCCATGTGGCCTAAAAGTTTCACACAGAACAGCAGCACATTCAGGAATCTCAGTGTTTGGGAAGCTGCTTCAGGCGATTCAGATTGAAAAAGCTAAAGAGCATAATCAGGCCCCAGTGACCCCAGAGCCTAAAACTAACTGCCCTAATCTGGTTATGCAACCACCCACAAAGACACGGGATCATCAGCAGACACCACTGGATCCTTGGACACTATTTCCCACATGTCTGTTCATGTCCAGCCCAAATGGGGACTCAATGGCTCAAACCTCACCAGATAATTTGTTTACAGTTCCCTGACGTGGCTTGATGTGCTTCAACCACTACTTCATTATAGACAGTCTGAGCTACAGTAAGTAAGAGTGTATAGTCTCTATATAGCAGCAGTGTTTGATCCTAACTAAGGTTATTTGATATAATCCTCCCATACCTTGTTGAGAGAAAAAAACAGTCAAGTGGTTAATCTCCTGCGATTTAAATTATGTGAAACTTACGCAAGGGAATTGGAGGAATTTTCCTTATGTGGGTCAGGACGTGTCTCACAGTTGAGCTCATGAGAAGAAGGGTTATGCTTTTCTCAGTGTGTGTGTTTGTGTGTGTGTCTGCAGGGTATCTGAGAAGTAGTATTGTGCACTGAGTATAGTAATAAGACTTTGAATTGAGCTGGGATTCAGCCATGATCAGGAATTTTACAAACCCAGGGTTGCATAACAGGGTCAGTGAGTTACTCTCCATCCCGTCCAATGAAGGAAACGCACAGGACGAACATTTGAGGGGAATCCAGTTGTGGATGTATGTATGTGCTCTCCCTCACACACGATCGCCCACTGTTAGGTTGGGTTTGGTGTGGAGGAGGACAGCAAACGTGTGAAATAAAACATGCATGCATAGTCACACTAATAAGTGTTGGCAAATAGAAATAAGTTGCATCATGTTCACATATTTGTGAAAATGCACCGTGAATAGCACACCAGATATTTCTGTGAGTTCACTGAGTAAATATCTGAATACTGGTGGACCTTTCTGTTTTTGTTTTGCAGGTCTCATCTCGCTCCTGCTGCTGATGTTTTAAATGGCATAAACTCAAAGACAGTTTGTGGAAAAACCTTGAAGCAGGCCACATGACACATTTACCCCCCCCCCCCCCCCCCTTTTTTTTTTTTTTTTTTACCTTCTTTTGCTAATCCCGCGATATATAAATCAGATGCTGGACCCTTTGAGATGAAAGGAGCTCCAAAGAAGAAAGAATAACTGATGATGATGCTGCAGCTGGGGTTAGAAGCTGTTTCCTCACATGTCCCAGCTCTCTGCACAGAGCTGGATCAAGCAAAGCCTCGTTTGTCATCTGTAACTTTATTTACAACAAACCAGCAACATGAATAAAAAATGGAATTCGGGGTTACAAAATAAACCATCTGTGCTGTAAAGCATCCACAGAAGGCGCGCACGTTTCTTATCCAACATTAAGTGTGAATAAAATCAAACCATAAATATGATTTCCTTCTAATTTATTGGTGAGTTTCAGAATATACCATCACTAATTCAAGCAAACATTTCTCAAATTACACCCTCCTTTCTCGATCACCAAGTTAATCCCGAAAGGGAAATCTTATCTCTGCGCCGGACTTCGCTCATAAATATCAGGTTTAAGCTATTTTTTGAAAAAATATTTACTTAAAACATTTCTCACTTCTTACAGATTCGCAACATCTACTCTGTAACAATAAACACCTCTCCGTGTTTTTAATGAAAATAATGTCATATGGGTTGCATTTTCTTATCAGCACTCCCCGATGAAAAAGTCACGAAATGTTCATCCAGAACATGCCTGCGAAATATTCACTGATAGTGTATCTAATTTGTTTCCAAGTCTTTACAACGATTTGAGCCATGTTTACTTTTAAACACAGACAGCTGCAGTATATGTAGAAGATATACATGGGACCTGGGAGGATGCATACAATTAATAGTGCATAAATTAACACTCTTATGAGACTGTTATGGTTAAGAGTAGGTGGCTGCTGGTCCACAACAGTGTGAGACAGACTGTGGTGCCAAAATGCATGCACGAATACTTAGATAACTGTGTCCTCTCTCTCTCTGACCCAGTATCAAGCTCTGGTTGTAGTTTTAAAAGGATTATAATCTGGTGGCTTATTTGTAAAAAACCCTGGCCCGCTATTTGACGAAATCTAGACCAGTCACAGAAATCCCTTTCGCCTGCCACCCCCACCCTGCAGTCAGTAGCCCATCTATGTGTGCCAGCTGCACGAACAGGGTCTAATTTCGCGGCTGAATGAGACAAGAGAAAACAGACGAATGAACGCGTCAACGCTGTTCCCCACAAAGCTCCGTGCTGCTCGAATGTGAGGTTATCGCAGGCTGGTTGCATTAGGTAAGTCTGTGTTCCTGTCTGTTTGGGACGAGCTGGTGAAACTCCAGCAGAACCGGTGACAAGGTCAAATGCTGCGCATGGTGCTGAAAGTGCGCCAGATGACGCGTGACTGAGGGCAGAGAGCTGTACTCGAATTTTGATGTGAGGCGGAATAGCTGTGGAAAAGTCCACACGAACCCCGCGTTTTTGTTGTGATAGCTGCAGAGGAAGTTGAAAGATGACTCGTTTGGACTCAGCGTTGGTGCAGGCCAGAGGTTGAGACTTGTGCACGGTTTGAGTTGAGGCGCCACAGCAGGTGGCAGTGTGAGAATGGAGATCCCTCCTTTCAAATACTCACACATACACTCTATGCAGCAGGAGATAACATGAAAGAGCTCCGAGAATAGACCCCACTGATCTAAAAACACTACTGTATCATGTGAACATTTGGCTGGTGTTTTCAGTGCTCACACACCATTTCAGACTCTCTCTCTCCCTGTCCTCTGTGTGCTTGCTATAATGTTGGTGGAGTGTGTTGCACCTTTAAAGCTGCTTGCATATCAGCGCTCCTGTGGCTTTGAGAAAGCTGCTATTCTCTCAGTGATAATATGGTCTGTTGGTTTTCTCCTGCAGTGAACACAGCTGTGCATGTAAAGAGGAGCAGGTTACATCCTCACTGGAGCTGATGTTCTCAGTTCGAAAACAGTCATCAAAAATGTAGTTGATCATTAGAAGAATTGATTTGTTCTCAGTCTTATCTCACTGAAACTGAAAATATTTGGATTTGAACTTGACAAAAGATAAAGGCAAGATGACCGCAGAGCTTTGTGAACTCATGCCGCTCCTAATGTTCAGTTATTTTATAGACTTGCCAATTAAAGGAGAACTACATTTCCTATATGCTGATTATTAAAAACCCCAAACCATACAAAACCATAAACATCACTAAAACATCATCGGGTGTCAGCTATTCCTGCTCCTCCTCCTTCGGAGGTTTAAAAACATTACCGGTTTCCATAATTTAGCCATGCATTCGAAGATGCAGCTGACCTATAAGAACATAGCGGCCAAGATTCAACAAAGTGCAGTCTGGTTGCAACTGTAAGCATGTTTTGTTCTGCTCAGTTGTAGAAATAAAGAACAGAGTTTTAGGCTGACATTTGAAATGTAATGGAGTTTAGGGAGTGGTACTTTAAGCAGTGAACCCGATCACTGGATCCAGACCTCCTCGTCCCTCCTGTAGTTTTTCCCACTTGCACTGATTTGATAAAACAATTCTGGGGGAAACTGGGAGGGGATGTCAATCAAATTCCAGGGGGAAAAGAAACCCTCCCCCACCCCACGTCCCCACTTTAGCAACACCCCAGTGAGTAGCACTTTACTAGTTAATGGGCCTTTGTTTGCAAAATCTGTTAAGTTTCCTATTCCTTAGGAAAACAATAAAACTATGTGACATCCTGATTGTTTTCTCTTGTTCTTGTAACAGAGGCACATAGATAGAAGTGATTAGATTACAGACTGCAGAAGCCGAGGATCATTGTGAGTTTGAGCAAGATGCTGAACTCCCTACTAGCTCTGTAACCGGCCTTCAGCACCTTATTAACTGAGCCCAGTTTACTGTCCTTTTCTGCAGCTCTCTCTTTTTGATCTCCTACCAGGACGTTATGCCCTTAGACAATTGTGCAGCTATAATTAGAAAGTCCAATCTGAAAATCAGACGTGGGTGGAACAGCACGTAGTGTGAGTATGCAGCAGCGTAACATGATGCAGTGGATTAACCAAAACCGAATCAAGGTCTTAAACACAACTGACTTTATTTTGTAGAGACAAACCAATCTGTTTATGTATTTAACTGGTGAAATAGAAGGAAATGTCCTTCACAGTTTCATGAAAACAACAGTTGAAATAAATGCAAAGGAAAGGAAATCCTGTCCTGCTTTGACATGGCCCAGAGGAGGATCCCAGTGTCTTTGGTTACCGCCAAACCTTTCTTCATCTTTGGTGGCACAAACCGCTTCAGATGTCTACTTATTGTTTAATGTACACTTTATGGTCATTTTGTTAGGGACACTTGTTCAACTTAATGCATTTAGGCATGTAGACATGGTCAAGATGATCTGCTGAGTGAGCAAGAATGGGGATTTAAGTGACTGTGAATGTAGCATGGTTGTTGGTCTGAGTATTGTAGAAGCTGCTGATCTGCAGAAGAGCATCTCTGAAACAGATTAGACAAATTAGACAATAGGATGTTGATCTAATGAGTCCCAGTTTCTGCTGCGACATTCGGCTGAGTCAGAATTTAGTGTGAGCAACATGAAAGTATGGATCCATCTTGGCATGTAACAAAGGTTCAGGCTAGTGCTGGTAGTGTAAGGGTGTGGAGCGTATTTTCTTTGCGCACTTTGAACCCGTGGATCATTTAAACACCCAAAACCTCAGTATTGCTGCTGACCTTGTGCATC